TTCTAATCTAATCAGAACTAAAAGCCATAAACACGGCAAATCTGTGAAGCTTCCAGATCATTTATTTCACAACACTGTTATAAGCAGTAGCATTAAGATCTTTTTTGGATATTTTTAACATGTCATGGCTACAGGGTGAGCTGTGCACCTCTCAGCAAAAATAGGGGTAGAAGGGATAACAAAGGTGAAGGCAGCAGAAATAGGGAGCACCAATGGGAGCCCAGAGTACCGGCATGGAAGGGAAAATGTGAGGAGTGGGGAGACAGAGAAAGAAAATGTGGGGAGAGAAGGCAGAGACAAAGGGTCTTGTAGTAGAGAGGCCAGGGTTAGGGCCCTGCTTTTATGTCATGTCCCCTGAGCTCTGTAACTCCTGAATTCTGCTGCAAGTAGGTTTCCAGTGCTACAGAGGAAATTGTGAACACACACACAAAACAACCCACATCAGCAACTAAAAACGCCTGTTTTTACTGACTTAAACATTAACTCAATAAAATATTTCCATTCATATAAGGTTTTGTGATAGATTATGTGAGTCTTCTGCCACTTGGTAGTTTCCCTCGAATATGAGCAAGTCAAAAAGAATAAATTCAAAAATCATGAAGGTAAAGTTCACCGTAAATTTGAAATTCTCCACAATCTGAATCTATTCATTTCCTCCATTTTTAGTCAGGTCACGCTGTGTAAGGCAAATCCATAGGTAATAAAGTGCTTACAGAGAGAAGGGTGATGTTACAAATTGTCATGCCTGGCTGAACTGCACAAAGCTATGAACTGATCAGCATTTATTTTTAGTGTGACGCAACCCATGCCACTAGTTGGCCAACAGCATTAAATTATTTCTCCCTTTGACACATCACATTATATTGGGGTGAGGTAATGAGTTTTATTAGAGATCAAGTACCATGGATATATGTAGTAGTAAGGTCAGGTATTTTAATACACTGGACGCGGATTTGCTGTTCAATAACTGGAAACATACAAATGGACTGCATCAGTGTTGAGTGAATGGTTCAGGTTTAAAACCAAACTAACTCACCAATGAAGCCTCTCATGCATAGATGAGTTGGAAAGATTTTGACTCAATTTATATTGTTTTTTGTTTTTGCTTTAATCTTTGTGGCTCTTTCTGTCAGGGGTTCAGGAGAAATGAGCAAGAGACAAAACCCATATAGCAGCCTCATAATCCACATAGTAGGAGTGTTCTGCCTCTTGATGTACTGTACTGTACACCTCTCTATTCCTGGTAGAATAGGTGCATTGTCCATTCACTCCTGGAACCATTTAGTTTCTACTTATGGTTTCTTTCAACAAACAGGCCACAGCATAACATGTTTCATAAGCCCAGAGGCCTACTAACAAGCTGTTTAACCTCATTAGCCCCCCAAAGATGGCGGTGTTAAAACACCACACCCCAGGGAATTATATCTTCCTGTTAAACCACATTTCTATTCTGGAAAAAGACTGTAAAAATGGCATTGTGGGTTTGATAGAAGGGATACACACCATCTATTGAAAAACAGGTTCCATCCAAAAGGTGCAGTTCATGCCTGGGCTGTGGGCAGCACATTACTTGGGAAAAACTTAAAGGCCAATGTTAAGAGCTGAGCTTGAGTGGCTAAGGTGGCAGAGGGGATCTTGTGTCTCAATGAGTCCAGTCAAATTTGCTCAGTAAACAAGAGTTGTTTTTCTTAACTGACAACTCTGCAAATTCCAGGTGGGATCTGAAAGTCAAACTGGGTTCTTTCTGTGTCATGTGTTATCTCGTGCATCATGACCAGCAAAAAATGTTCTGAATGCTAAATTATGCCTTCGGTTACACTTGTGTAACTCATTAAAAGTGAATAGAGTTGCACATTTTGCTACACTATCTGCCTTTCAGGAAACACTTAAAAAACCTAAACTTTTGTCACTAAAGATTAAATTAATTCACAGTCACAGTTCAACCATCAGACTTATCCATTTGACTCTAGTGTAGGGTAATAACATGTTTATTTTCGCCCGTGTTTTTGAGCTTGCGAAAGTGCAAAGGTTAAAACTGACAAATGGGATTTGAAAAGCACATCAGCAAGCTAAACTTAACATAAAATACAAATTATCACAACAGACCATAGCTATTGTATAAACGGCACAGGTTTTAGTTAGTTTAGAATTAACTGGTGAAAGTAGTTCCTTCTGTTCTTAACTAAATAGAGTACACAGTTTGTTAAAGCATAACATATATCTTTATTCTAAAGGCCTGTTTTTCATTTAAACCTGTGGTTAAGCCTGGAATCAGCCACTGTGCTCAAGTATCTTTAGTTTACTTAAAACATGAAAAAAGAAGCCAGGACGTGTTTGGTTGGCCTAAGCAAAAAATACAGTGCTTCCAAAGCTCTAGCAGTCTTAGGATCATGCAGCTTTGTTTCTTTCAGTGCAGGACATAAAAATATTTGTGTCTGTATGTTTTGATAATAGAAATGAGTACCTTGTCATGTTTTAAATCAGCAGCCAAAGGACTTCTTAAGTGAACATGACAGTATTTAAAATGTCCTATGCTACCTTGGTTAAGATGTGTCAATCACAATTAACAGCAACAGATTTGCTATTCTAAAACAAATAAATCCTGCAACTTCTTTGCTGCATGAAAAGCAGATGACGAGTGACTGCAGAAGGCAAACCTACCACTATAGCCAGTTAATCTGTCAATAGAAATTACTTTCATTATTTCCTGTATTCACTAGGGTTGGTAAACAATAGAACTTCAGCTAACACAGTTTTTGTTACATACAAATTGAATGTGAAATACTGGATGACATTATAAATGAATCTCTTTTTGCTATTGCACTGGAATCCTGAGGCCCGCTGAGTCTTCATGATTAAATCAGTCTGTAAACTTCATATATTTTTCTATCAACCCTATTAAATTCGTGTCTTTTTCTCATCTACCAAATTAAGGGGTGTCCTTCCACCTGCTATTTGAAGGAGACTCGTCTTCCTTGACTCTACACACACACAACAGAAACAAAAGGAACATTCACACTTCTCACAGAGGATTGTGAGAAGTGTGTGCTGAAAATCCACATGGTGGGGTAAGCTCTCTCTTTTCAAGTAAAAGCCTCTCTCAGCTTTCCAAGCTTGTGGGCTTCCTCTGCAAGCTTCCCACAGTAGTTTTCGTGCTATCAGCCATTATGTCCCTCCTGTGGCTTTTATTCGTACTAACTCCTCACACTCCTCATCCTATCAGCAAAAGCCAGGCTTGTGAATCTCCTGAGGAAATGTCCTTTCTTCACTCTTTCCAACAACTCTGCCCATCTGTCATCTGGACTATTTTGTTCCCGTCTCGTTCATTTGTGGCTCTCACACTTCATTCTCCATGCTCCCTTCCAGTGCTCATTCTTTCCCCCTCCTGCCCTTTTATATTGGTTTAATATGGCTCACCAGAGTGGCTGGGAATTTTTTCTTTGTCTGCTTACTGAGCACCAAACAGAGGGTCATGGCCTCAAAAAGAGCTATGACCCTAAAACAAGTCAATACATTGGGGAGCAGAGACTTATGTGGAAGGGCTAAAGTGGACCATTCAGATAATTCATGAACTTGAAGTGGATAATTAAACAAACTTGGCTCTTTGAAATGTTTAATATGCAGCTTTAGGGGATCACAGGGAATTAAGGATGTTAGGGATGGGGTACAGGTGGTAGGGTCAATATCAAGCAACAATCCCATGGATACACACCATCCATAGAAAAATGGGTTCCATCTGAAAGGTGCAATTGATGCCTGGGCTGTGGGCAGCATGTTATTTGGGGAAAACTTCAGTGCCAATGTCAAGAGCTGAGCTTGGGTGGTTAAGGTGACAGAGGGGATCTTGTGTCTCAGTGAGTCCCTATCAAATTTGCCCAGTAAACAGAAGTGATTTTTCTTAACTATCAACTCTGCAAACTCAAGCTGGGATCTGAAAGTCAAACTGGGTTCTTTCTGTATCATGGGGTATCTCATGCACCATGACCATCTGGACAACTACCAAAGGGGAGAATAATGTAATTTCTAAAACATTCCATTTCATAATACCAAAGTCAATGGAAGGCACTTTATATACAGAATTTCATCCAGGTTCGAGCTTAAGTCCACGAGCTATGTGGAAGCTTTGAGACTGCAGCAGTGCTGGTTGTTTATACAGCAGATGCTCCGTGGATTAGCAGACATGTGCATCTATTGTGCCTGTACTGACTCAGGAAAGACTGCACGTACAAATGCTAAAGGCTATTGTTCCACTTGTCCAACTATTTTTAGTTTCCTGAGTCTTCTACATTCCTTTCCAGAGCCAGTATTTGATTTGGTTTTCTGATTCTCGTTTGTAGTAGTGTTAACCTCTAATTTCTATGTCAGAATATTAAGACATAGTGGCACAAAGTTTATCTACTAAGTCTGGGTCAGCAGTCTGTGATCCTTCAGGGATATCTGACTAAACTTCTGCCCAAGGGGCACGGGTTTGAAGAAACAGAGTATAAATGGCACTGAGGAGTAACCTTAGTCAATCAGAATGCTAGAGGAGACAGAGAAAGTATCCAATAAGATTAAAAAAGCCTAGGTGAGACTAAAAAAGGCACTGAAATATTGAGATGAGTCAACAGTAGACATAGTAATAAGACCCTAGTGCACAGGTGAAGATTCTAAATTTAGACCCAAAGCTACCTTCAAAGATTTTCTGTCTTATTTGGCATCAGAACCTATTATGAACATTATTTATGAGTAACCTGCTAGTAAAAGATTAGAATTACTCTACTCAGAGTTGTGGTGACAGACATTGCCTTTTATGGAATTAGACAAATACAAAGTAAAACAGGCTAGCGTGTAATGATTCTGAGCTTTTCACCACACATACAGAAGGCTGCTGCACGTCAAAGGCTTAGACTTCATGGATGCTTTTAAGCTACCCAGGGATAGAGGAGTCATAAGAATCCATGGTAGCTGGAATAGCATGTATACTTTCCTCTGTGCTAAAGATGAATTTTGCTTCTTACCTTGCTGCACAAAGGATCCATAAACGAACCACATGGAGTTGTACAGTGTTGTAGAAGTCATTGATCCCATCTGCAGGCGTGGTGGGTTGAGCCAGTTCAAAAGGTAGACCAGTAGTCCTACCAGAAGCACAGTGCCAGCTATGCAGGCCCACAGGGAGAGGTCAAATGGTGCCAAACAGGCGAACATGTCCACTGTCTTCTCAGCCTTTCGAAGCAGCACACCCACTGAGTAGTCCATGTAACGGGTTGTGAAATCTACCACATTTTCCCGATCAGGGGTAATGGTTAAAGCAGAAATCCCTATGTCGGCTCTCTAAGAAAGAGAAAAAAGAGAATTCATTAACATGAGCAACAGAAAAAAAAATCTTGGCTCTAACTTGCTTTATAGCACCTAAACTTTTCATGGAAAAACTGATGCCAAGGCCAATGTCTTAAGTATGCTGTAAGTAAGTATGAAAATGCTCCTAAGGAGATGAACAGAATAGCTGCACGTGAATCTTACATTTCTTTGACCAAACCTTGGCTGGCTAGACTCAGGCACATTAGTTTCCCAGCATTATTAGTGTCCAAAAAATCAAGAAAAATATTTCAAACACAAATAATAGCTGGAGGAAATTTGCTTTTGGTCATTTTTCTTGGCCTGGCTTATCAGGGACATCATTGTCATAGAGACAACAGGTAGACCTTGTGTATAGTATTCCTACTCAGAAGAAATTAGTTTCTTGACAGAAGCCACATGATACCTAGAATTCTGACGACCCAAGGATCATGACAAAGGGCCACTGCATGTCATTACATTTCATTTGTCCTGGGTTTTTTGGCTGCATATTAACTGTAGAATAATCAATGTCCTATGTGGTTCCTTCAATACTGGAGTTTTTATAGCACTTAAAACTGAGCTACTGTACCATATGGTTACCTGTCCTACAGGTGTCATAGAATGGCTTGGTTTCACAGACATCTATGTAATTTAAAACAATCCATTTAAGAGCTGAAGGGGATTAATAAAATTCCTTGATCTTATCATCCCAATTCTCAGCTTGTCTCTGAAACAAACATTAGGTCCCTAAAGACAACAGTCACAACTACAGCAGGTGCTATTTTACTTACTTTTCACACATGCTGTGACGGGTTGGATCACAGAAACCCCCTTGGGAGCTGCCACCCGATGTGCCAAGACTACCCCTGCTTCTGTTTTCCCCTCACAGCTCCAGGACTCCAGCACCCCGTCTTGCTGAATTAGACACTCCAGTCCACTTCAACACAGACCCAGGGTCTGAATTACTTGTCCCAAAGCTGCGAGTTTACCCAAAAACAGCTCACAGGAATGTGCTTGTCTTTAGCACTCAGATGCCCAACTCCCAATGGGGTCTAAACCCAGATAAATCCGTTTTACCCTGCATAAAGCTTATGCAGGGCAAACTCATAAGTTGTTCGCCCTCTATAACACAGATAGAGAGATATGCACAGTTGTTTGCTCCCCCAGGTATTAATACATACTCTGAGTAAATTACTAAATAGAAAGTGATTTTATTAAATACAGACAGTAGGATTTAAGTGGTTCAAAGTAGTAACAGACAGAACAAAGTAAGTCACAAGCAAAATAAAATAAAATGCGCAAATCTATGCCTAATCAAACTAAATACAGATAATCTCACCCTCAGAGATGCTTCAGTAAGTTTTTCTCAGACTGGACACCTTCCAGGCCTGGGCACAATTCTTTCCCCTGGTACAGCTTTTGTTCCTGCTTAGGTGTTAGCTAGGGGTTTCTCCATGATGGCTCCTCTCCCTCTCTGTTCTCTTCCACCCCTTTATATATCTTTTGCATAAGGCGGGAATCCTTTGTCCCTCTGGGTTTCCACCCCCCCCTCACTGGAAAAGCACCAGGTTAAAGATGGATTCCAGTTCAGGTGACATGATCACATGTCACTGCAAGACTTCATTACTCACTTGCCAGCACACACATATACAGGGAGACTTGCAGGTAAACACAGTCATCTGCAGACAATGGTCCTTGTTAATGGGAGTCATCAAGATTCCAAACCATCATTAATGGCCCACACTTTACATAATTACAATAGGCCCTCAGAGTTATGTTTTATATTTCTAGTTTTAGATACAAGAGTGGTACATTTATACAAATCAGATGATCATACTCAGTAGATTATGCACTTTGTAATGATACCTTACAAGAGACCTTTTGCACGGAGCATATCCCAGTTGCATTATATTCACTTATTACCGTATTTTCTCTAAATTTATCCCAGTTACATTATATTGACTTATTATTATATTTTTATTCCAACCCGTCACACATGCAATTATAAGTGCAGTGAAAATAGAAGAGGTACTTCAAGCAGACACATTAACACTGTTTTTAAAAGAAATTCAAATATTGAATAAAAAGACTGTAAACTCTAGATTTTTTTTCCCATATGGAAAGGAACATTTAACATACTTAAAGTTGTTACTGGTTTGATGTAATTAGCTTCTGTGATTAAAGCTGTATGAGGTCCTTTCTAGGGAACAAAAAAAGTATGAATACTGGAAAGGATCAGCAAATCTATTAATTTATTGACTCTCTTGAGTTTCTTTCATCTATGTCCAAACAAGGCGGGAATTACTGCTAGCCAAATATTGAGATGTATGTGATATCTTAAGTGGCATAGCATGGGAATGAAACTGTGATAAATAAAAAGTAGGCAAGGATTAGGATCCAGTTTGAAAATCCCAACTTCGTTTTGACATTTTCTGTCAATATTTTCCGCTACACATAGTACAGCCACACTATTAATCACAATAAGCTTTAGACAGGGCTTGATGTACTTAGTACAAAAGTTAATATTGATGTCTGAACTTAAACTTCAATAATCTTCTACAGTTGTGTAAGTGTGAGGGTGTGTGGAAGGGGTAGTGTTGAGATGAGTTGGGCAAAAAAGTATTTTCAAATATTCATTTGCATAAAAGTCATGGGCCAAAGCTTCAGCAGGTCTAAACCAAGATAGCTCTACTGACTTAAATGGAGCTGCACTGACTTACACCAGTAGAGAATTTGGCCTCATGAATTCACTTTGATTGTATTCATATCCCTTTCTGTTAGTTTTCAGTGAATGATCGTTTGATGTTTTTTGATTCACAGGCAGCAAAAGTCTCAGGAATATTTGTGCAGATTCATCAGAGTGAAGGTTTGCACAAGACTCAGTCATGTACTTGAAAGTCACTTTGATTTCCTTCTGCCTCTTTATAAAAGTATTCAATCACTCAGGTGAAGAGCTTAAAGAAAACCATACGACTCTGATGACCTATCATAACCCCAGAATAATCAGAGCTGAGAACCCTTTGCAAATGACCCACTCTGAAATGTTTTCCACATAAAGTGTACATCAATTTTGAATAATTAACAACTTGTAAAAGTCAAAGTCAGTTCACGAATAATTAATTAACAGAGACAAGACTAAATGCAATTTTTTTGTATGTTTGATTCAAGTCTGTTGTTGAGTAAGATTTCGTGGTTATAGAGCGACCCTAGCAGTCTTGAGTTGTTCTAATCTCTAGTCTGAGCCATTGCTGGTTAATTTTAGGTCAGTTATTTAACCAACTGTAATTGTTATTAATATATTTCCCTATCTCACAAGAGTACAGTGAGGTATAATTAATTTAACATTTTTAAATGTTTTGATATCCTTGGATGAAAAACAATATAGTTTGGAGAGTGCGAAGGATTCATTTAAAAAACAGGAGATTACTGCAATATTGACTAACTGCAATCATGACTTAAGCTTTTTTAAATAAACAGGTTTTCACAAGAGATGTGTTGAAATGTGTTGTATGGAAGAGCACAGTATCATGTCATTTGTGGAGATGTTGCTTATATTTTACCTCCTTGGAATGAATTGTTCCAAATTTCCATTGCATTACTACTCCAGTACAGTTATCAGTGAGCTATGACAGAGGATCGCCGTTGTTCTAATGGAAGTATTCCATTTCCTTTGTGATATTACAGAAGTCATTGCAATACAATTATGTCTACTGATAAGGCAGTGGTAGTAAAGTGGTAAAAGGAACGGTGAAAGATAAATCCTGTCTTTTCAGTGCTATTGTGTTCAGCGCTGGCTTCAGCTTTTTTGCTGCCCCAAGCGGCGGCGAAGAAAAAAAAAAAAGATAAAGTTGCGATCGGCGGCAGCTCAACGGCACTGCTTCATTCTTTGGCGGGAATTCGGCGGCTGGTCCGTCCCTCCGAGAGGGACCAAGGGACCCGCTGCCGAATTCCTGCCAAAGACCCGGACGTGCCGCCCCTTTTCATGGGCCGCCCCAAGCACCTGCTTCCTGTGCTGGTGCCTGGAGCCGGCCCTGATTGTGTTTAGGTTTCTTTTTAAGAGGGAATATTACTACCCACATACTTATTTTATTTACTGAATTTTAACCAGTGTATTCCCAGAGAACAATTTCTTTATCACTGATGCCAAAGTCGGTTAGTAATAATACTGGCTAGTACCACTGTAGTGAAAAGTGCTACTAACAAGTACCAACCTGGTTGCCACTGTACTGCATTTGCTTCATATTAAGTGAGAGAGATCTTTTATGAATAGAGATGTGTTGTATGAACTGCAGGAAAACTGTGAAAATGATTTTTGTAGTATATTTGTAACAATATAATATCTCACTGGGTGATGATTAAGGCTCCACGTCTGTCACGGAGGTCGCGGAAATCATGGATTCTGTGACTTCTACAGGGGCTAGTGTGGCTGACCCCAGGGTTGCCCAAGCAGCTGGCTCTGGGGCCAGCTGCTCAGGTAGCCTTGGGGACTGCCACACCAGCCCCTGCTGGAGTGACACTGCAGCCAGCCGCTCAGGCGACTCCACACTGGCTGCTGCTTGAGTGGCCCTGGGACCAGCTGCACAGGCCGCTGCCCAGTGGTCCCGGGGCGGCATATGGCAGCTGGTGCCACTGGCCCTGCCCTCCACCCCAGCAGCAGCCCCTAGTCCTCCCCCCGGAGCAGCGGCCCCACCAAGAGTAGCCCCTCCCATAATTAGTGTTCAATGAGTCATGTTTTGATACCCCCGGGTTTACTGTCGAGTGAGGTCTCATTTTGTTGTGTGTATTAACCATGTAAACATATGAATAATCTATAATCATCACTAAGGCTACAATTTAGTCATGGGTAATTTTAGTAAAAGTCATGGACAGGTCATGGGCAATAAACAAATTCACACCATGACTTTTACTAAAAATAACCATGAGTAAATCGTAGCCTTAGTGATGATTATAGATTATTCATATGTTTACATGGTTAATACAACAAAATGAGACCT